TACTTGATTGATAAATCTTCTAAACTTTGATCTAGTGCCATCAAACTTCTCGGATATGGCAATTCTTGGTTCTCTAACATTGGAAGGACATTTCACCATAGGATGAGGGACATGATTTGGTGCAGATGTCAAAGCAACTCAAATCATTTCTATATCTTCACTTCCTGCCAATCTTGTTGCTCCTTGTAGTGGTAAATTGAGTTGATGCATCGCAAGCATTAACTCCCCCAATTGCTCTTGCATTTGTGCTATTGCACTCTTCATTTCAGCAAGTTCTGCCATGATAACACTTAGAAAAGAAAAGATGTCTAATATCACTCAAGACAAATAGAAGAGAGGATTTGAGAACAAAGAAATTACTAAGAACAATATCAGTTTAAAAGAAGGTAATCTGCAACTTCTAATATGCTTATGTCTTATCAAAAAAAAGGGATAATCTACTCTTAATCAAGATTAGGTAAAGCTCTGATATTGTAAATGTACTCTTGTCAATCTGTCAAGGGCAAGAACATGATAAAGACAAATAAACAAGTAAGACTTCTTTCAAAGAAAGATGACAAAATAGAAATAACTTGATATGTATATTAAGAAAGAAACTGGAATGGCTATTGCCAAAAGACAAGAAAAGTAGAGATCCTTGAAACTAGACTGGGAATAAGAAAGAAGTTGAGAAGAATGAAGAAGGCTTCACTCTTGTCTCTATATATACTATCTAACTAGGGGCTACATGGTGACGTTCTATAGGACCTCCAATATGTATTGACTTTGTAGGACACATGCCTTGACTTACAAGGCAAGTTTTTCTACGTGTGGGCTACATAGTTAGCTTGGTCTTCAAGCTAATAATATGTGTGGCACATGGCCAACTTATTGACTATGTTTCTAATCCAAAAAGTCAATTAAAGACACCTATAAAGTCAAAGCAGTATCTATGAAGCTTCTAGAAAGCTTCCATACTAAATACTATAGAATTAACTTACTTTTATCTACTTTTACTTACTTCTACTTATTTATATATGTAATTACTGGCTTACATGAGTATGTCCGTGACATAAAGTCATAACTTTGGATGTATGTTTTGGATGATTATTGTGTTAGATAATCATATTTTCAAAATTTAAATTGAATGTATGTAATATATAAATCACCTTATATTCATAAATCTCTTTGTGAAGATGTTGATCCATTTTTCTTTCAATTTTACACATTATGGCAAGTCCTACAATCATCACTCTTCTTCTCCCAAACTTTATCTTCTTTTACATTTTTTTGGCATTCAAAGTCCATCACAAATCTAATACTAGCTACAACCATTAAAGCAAAAACTATTCACTTTTGTTTCATCAAAAGATAAGTCATGAGTCCAATTATCATTTTTCTAATATTTATGACGTTTTACAAATTCTAAGCTTGATTTAATTTTACTAGGTGTGAGCTTTATCTTCTTTTACTTAATATTAGATTTTAAGCTTACTTGATATAATATCCTTCTTACAATAGAATCAAATATAGTAATGTAAGCTACTTCTGTCATGTAGATTCTTACTTTGGATATTGTCTCAAAGCCACCAATAGTAATTTATTACACATATGTTTATTGATCTATACACAAAATACTCTTGGTCTATCACCAATACTACTATTTATACCATTAAACCTACTTAATTTTGTTTGAAAAGATGTGCAATAAAACCCTAGCATACTTGCAAATCTCTTGCAATATTTATAGCCTTTTCACCTCTCTTTAGCTTTGCTACAATACTAATTTTTATATATTGTCATTCAACTTAAGAGGCATATCTTGATGGAGTCATTTTGTAATAGAATATACTTATGGCATATAAGATTATATAACCAAAGCATATTATTATATCTTTATTTTCAACCAAGCACAAAAAAATACTTATAAATGTTGGATTTTTTTTAGATTACATTATTTTCTTGCAATCCAAATGTGAGCAAATTTAGTTTGATAGATAGATGATTTGATCAATTTGTTTATCCCTCTCATTTATATTACTAGACTTGTATTTTTGTTGCTACATTATTGACATATTTTAGAAGCTAATTTACTTTCACTTTATATTTCTACTATAATATATTAGTTATGATTTTTAGTTAAAATCAAGATTATTAAATTTATACTTAGTTATGATTGTCAATATATAAAATCTTAGAATAAATCCTAACACTTGTGCTTTTGTATTTGAGAAGTATTTATGCTTTTTTTTCTTCTTCTTTTAACTCTTTTTTGTAGACAATACTTCTTATTATCCTATTCCTTGTTAGTTGCACTAGGCATTCTTCCATATACTAAAATTTTCAAACTTTGTCTTGTACAAAATTAATTTGAATTAGTTGGTTGGTTGGTTGGTTGGTTGGTTATTGTTGTTGTTATTGTTGTTGTTTTTTTTTTTTTTTTTTTTTTTTTTTGATCATTGGTTTTGGAAAGTTTTTTTCATCTATTCCCTACTTTGGAAGGTATTCTAGGATAGACCAAATTATTGCATCTTTTAAAAAAAATCCATAAAAAAGCAAAAAAATAGTCATATAGATAATCAATTTGAAGCAATTTTATTTTTATTATTTAGTTTTTATTAAATAATTTTAGTTCAAGTCTTCAAATTTTAATTATATTTTTAGAGTATTTAGTTAATTAAATTTTATAGTAAATAATTTAATTATATTCTATAACATATTAGATTTGTATCAAATATGACATTCAATATTTTGAAAGTAATAAAATTATTGAAACTCTTTTCATCAAAAATATTGCTATAAAAATTATTTTTATTAAATTCATCTTTTCAAATTCCATACTAATATCTTCTAAAGTATATATGATAAATTTTGAAAAGATAAAAATAACACATTTATATTGTTAGTAACTTGATTTTTAAAAAATTGATTAGAATCATATTTTCAAACACATATTGTTAGTATCACTCTTTCATATAAGTAATTGCAAATTTGTGCTAATAAATTAAATGATTTCTACCTTTATTTTTATGCCCAATAAAAGTCTTGTATGATATTTTTAATTGTGTAAAATATTAAAATTATATATATATATATATATATATATATATTTTAGTATTTTCAAAATATAATGTTTTAATTAATTGATTTAGTTATTTTAAATATAATGATTTAATAAAATTTATACAAAAGTTAATAATTTTTTATAGTACATATTTAATATTAAATTTTAAGGTTTTAGAGTAATCTTAAACTACCATTTGGAAGCAAATTATTTTTAAAAAAATCTCTTGGAATTAGCAATTTGAATTTTACTTGAAAAGTCCTAATCTTGCTTCAAAAAGCCTTGTACAAAAGAATAGTCTCTTATTATATAAAATGTAATAAAATAAAATAAAAAGAACAAGATTCAAATTCAGAAATTATTCAAATAAAATATTGTACATTATTAGATTTTATATATATATATATACATACATACATACATAGGAGAATGTTAAGTAGAGCCATGATTTTACTAAATAGACTTACCTTTGATAAAAAAATATGGTAATCATGATAAATAGACCCAAATCTATTTAACATTCCTCTGTATATATTATGTAAAGCGTGTGGCTATTGCCACAACACCTTTTACTCGGTGCACAGAAACCCTAAAATCCGGAATGACACAAATTTTGTGTGCGTAGTCTAATTATTTGTGCCTTAAGCAGATGTATGCGGATAGCAGAAATTTTTGTGCGCTTAACTACAATTCACATTTCAAGCCTTGTCGGCTGTCATGTCTTGCTTCGTTAAAGGCAGGCTGTGATTTACCAAGGGTCGAACCAACTTGGGCATACAGGTACACTGCACGAGCGAGGAACTGAGAGGCACTGTTTGAGGAACGAATTGGAAAATTATCGGGTGACGAGATCACGACGATGAAGAAAATGAATGAAGACAATGGATCGGTGGTTATTTTTTAGATTTTGAATTTTGTGCGCTTAGCCCGTTTATTTGTATGATTGACAGAATTACATTTTTTTTTTTTTTTTTTTTTTTTTTTGGGGGCTTATCATATTTTTTATGTGCGCCAGAAAAATTTGTGCGCCGAGTAAAAGGCGTTGTGGCAATAGCCATTCCGTATGTAAATTATACTACTTATTAGGAGATGCAAAATAAATTTTAAGATATTGTTATTCACTACAATACAATATTTGAAGGGATGTATTAGTGAGACATCACCTCCTACTATTGAGATTCCAACCATGATTTATTTCCCAAATTATCCATTTGGATGATTGCTATTCTTTCCACATGTTCTCTTCTAGACAATGTATTGTTCATCTTTTGTAAAGTCTTCCACTACCTATTGAACTCTTACAAGCTTCTATAAGAGGCTCATATAGATAGAGCTTCTAGTAGTATTGTGTTGCAAGAACGTGAATCTTGTTGAATGAGGTCTTAAGATGAAAATACAAGATTTTCAACTCCTATTAAAAAGTGATGTCCCACTAACACAAGGGTGATGTCTAGCTAATACCCCCTTTATGAAAACTACATAATTTTAAGAAGCAAACGATGAATGAAAAATATTTCAATGGTTGGTTTAAATGCTTGTGCTGAATGTTGAGGATGCAGAGGCACAATTTGGCCAAAACGGGCTAAAATGAAGGTAGTTTCTTTGATCTATGAAAAGTCGAAGAAGAAGAAAAGTAAGAACTCGACTCAGAAATCAATTCGGTAAAACTACCAACGAACCTCATTTACTGTCATTCATTGTTGATGAAATAATAATTAGCAAGCCACAATCATAAAAGAAATACTTTTCAATAAAAGCCAAAACATTCGCCGTCAACAGTGGAGAGCGGCGACATAATAAAAGCTCAAAAGAATTTTCGATGTGGCTGAAAGGAGTTAATTAAGACAGTTGACACAGATGCAAAAAAGTCTGTACATACAAGCCATAAAAAAGGTACATATATATAGATATATACACACGCACAAACTCAAATGTTGACTGAATCAGGCCTGGCAGAAGCGAGAAATTAGCAGATATTATGTCAGGGTGAGCACAAACAAAACTGGGTCAATTTTCTAATTAATTCAGAGCCACAAGCTCCATTCCAACCAGTTCAACTTGCTTTTGTAAGCAAATACTTCTATTATTGGCTGCCCACAAAGGACTGAATCTCCTACTGCTTAACTGTCATGCTAAACATTATTTTCCAAGATATAACTGAATTCTGAAAGAGTAAACAAATTTCCCTACCTACGAAGATCTGGTTGCTGCTCAAAGCTTTAGCTTTTTCGAGACTGGCTTTATGTCGAGGAAACTCTCGTTTTGGAATTTAGAAGTTCTGCCCGCACTGCCATTTGCAAATTTTGATGGTGTTGGTGCATGATATGGTGAGGCTTTGTGGGTCACGCCGCCCTTGGACTTCACCTTTTGAGTCAAGACCTTCTGAGCCTCGTCTGACTCGAGCAGCCCATGTTCCATCAACCTGTCACACCACCAATTTTCTGCACTGAATTCTGCCTCCAATTTGAGAAACATAAAGAAACAAAAGATTGGAATCTCGATCCCTCTAGCATCAAGCATACTGATAATCGTCATCGTACCAAATGTTCGCCATATCACTTGTGGGTATCTGTCTATGAAGTGACCCATAAAACAACGTCAACGCATCCCTCTGGTGTTCGAACATCCAGCAGCAAAGCACATCACGCGACGGGTTAGTACAGCACTCAGAATTTTTCAGGATGATTATTTTATGTCAAGTTACGTATCCAAATTCAGACTTGAGTTTCAATCATAATGGTCTCCTAAGACAGAGAATAACAATGACAGTGGAGGATAGAAAAGCTTACTTCCTCTGGAGGTTCAAATCTTTGACCTGGTAAAGAAAATGATTTCTTCTTCTGTTTCTCCTGATTTACTTTGATGGCAGACGTGGTAATCAACTTGACAGTACTCGTAGCTACTTTTGAAACACTCCTTATCTATATAATGTAGAGCACACAGCACCATCAAATTGTCTATTGCGAAACTCTACATTGATCAAACAAGCAGCTCTAACGACAATTTTACAATGTTATATCTCCAATCTGCATGGAAAACTGAAAAGACTTGGAAGGAGATTCATAGATTTTCCAAGGTATCGTAGCTATCATGGCAATTACCGGCTCAATAATCTTCGTGGCACTCCGCACTTTCACACCCTTACCACCCTCCGCTGGTCTCTTCCCGTCACTTGGTAGCTTGTTTTTCTTCACATCTTCCATTACGGTTGGCCTTGCCACACTCTTTCCTTTCAACGAATCCTCGGCGCTAGAACTATCCTTCTTCATTTCCTTCCCAATTCCAGCATCTGTTGACATTCTCGTTCCATCACCAGGTCTTACAACACTCCTAGACTTCAACGGCTCTCTTGGTTTCTCGTGTCTCCCCTTCGAAACATCGGAACCTAGGACTAGGGTCCTTCTGTGACTCTCGTTCAATACATCCCCCTCTCTAATATCTTTAACCTTTTGCTGCAACTTCATGTCGTGTGTCCTCTTCAGGCTTCCCTTCAGTATCTCCATCTCTTTCTCATCTTTCACTTTATGTACCACTTTGGGTTTCTCCCCTCCTATGGTCCTCCTGAGACTTTGGTTCAAAATATCCCTCTCCATGGCATCTTTCAATTTGGGTCGCACCTTCTCACTCACTATTTGAGTCCTACCTAAATTCTCACTCGATGAATTCCTGTCTACATTAACCTTGGCTTTCAGCTGGGGAGTTGTGTCCAGTTCCTTCAATTTTACATAATCTTTACTTACTCTTGGAGGCTCTTTTCCTGTACTCTTCACATGATCATGACTACGTTTCAACGCATTCCCACTCCTATGTACATGGTCTTTACTGGGTGTCCCTAGAGGTGTTGCTGCAACTCTGCCGCTCTTAGATCCCTCTTTTATGCCTCTTGGTGGATCTTTGCTATCCTGGTTGATCCCTAATCCTGGTTTTCTAGGATTGTATTCCATCACTTTGACACTCCGTGCTTTTTTTTTTTTTTTTTTTTTCTCTATCCTGCTTTCGTTTCAACTACAGCCTACACCTCTATGAGTAGGAGGATCAAGCCCCAACCAGTCAAGGTGCTGGCATGTGAAGATAAGTGTACTTGTGTGACGCTAGTGCATTGTAAAGAATTGCTGAAGGAAATAACAAACATGGTTCAGAAACTGGAAAAAAGAGCTTAGCTCTAACATGGTACATGAATGATATATTCTGAACATGGGCAAGAGGTAGCACTTAGGCCTTTGCTGAAGTCAACAAGGATACTCTTCACGATTGACAACTGGGATTTCGTACTTCCAGCTTCTGTTCTGATGAAGTTTCAGAAGAACTCAAAGCCTCTTACACGTGTACTTTGCTAACTTGACACAGAGAGCACTATCAGCACTTAACGTTGACGAATTCTTATTCAAAGAAGTAAAGCAGACGAAATCTGAAAAAAATTCCATTGTTTAGCTTAGACATACGTAAAGAAGGAAACATCTTAGGATTGAATTATAGGTTCAAATCCAACTAACCGGGTACCAAATTTCGTCTTCCTACTGAGTGTTGAAGGAACTATGAGTGGAACCTATATTCTAAACCGATTGCTATATAAAGCTGCGTCGTTGAATAGGTTGAGTGAAAAAGCAGAGAAGGATTCCAGATTAAGACACGGTGGAAATGAACGTAACGTAGAATATTTTAGAAATAACCGTGCAACCTAAACCAAATATTGTCTATCCTTTACGGATGAATTTGCATCTGTCTTCCATGGCTTCCATGGAAAAATAGCGCAATTCAATCCCTGCAGATTAAGGCGTGTCAAAACGTTAGTGAGCCTTGGAGGGGAACCCCTAGAAGTCAAAAATGGAACTATCTCGTGAAACTGAAGGGTCGTGTGAGAATCGTAGTTGTGTGCCACTTTGTTCTGAAATCAGAGCTTCAATTGGCCAAGTCATGCTCACCTCCTACGAACTCTTGGGTTGAGGAGATGTATGCGCAACTGCTCCCAGTATGCCCCTCGAATTCTGCCGCACATCAAACACCCGTGACTCTCAGCATAGATGACCAGTCCTTCGTTAATCGTGTTGACGCACTTAGAACTTCAGAGATAAGGTCACAGCTGATTTGCGTTTAAGCTGAACCGCAACCTCACAATGCGAAGAAAAGGTTCATGCTACGGCACCACGAAGCGTCATTGTAACAAACCTAGATCATGTCTTAGAAGGTGGAAACTACCAGAGCTCCACCGACCTTCCCCGAAATACTAACTACCACGACACTATTGTCAGGGTCATCCCTCAAACCTTAATTCTAGCAATTTACAAATTTGGAAAGAACGGCCTAAACAAGATCAGTTCCATTACAGCACTCGCCACTACCCAGAATTTCAGACCCACTCCGACCCAAATCTCTCCAGAACATGCCAGCTTCCGCAAAAGACCTCACACTCAAACCCTTGCGGATTCACATCTACCCTAAAGCAACAACCACCATAAAACCGCGTCACAGCACCGACGCTCCTCTGTGCAATGTCTGGATCTACTTTCCACGCAGGAAGGGACAGTATCTCTTCAGAGCAGCAGCAGCAATTCTTCTGGCGCGTCACTTTTCTAGCATACAAACGCCTGAAAGTGGGTGAATTACTTTAAAAACAAATCAGCAGATAGAAGAGAGCACGCTGGCTGGACATGATAAATTAGAAGCCATGTACCATGACAGCGGCACATAAAGCAGCAATACACTGGCGATGCAGCCTTTTTTTTCCTGACTGGTGCAACTTGGTGGTGTTGTTCTTCTCCCTGGCGAAGTGAGGTGAGGCGCACGATCTTCACACAACCCAAGAGCGGTGACTCCTCCTATCCAGCCCACCAGCACCACACTGCAAAATCCCGTGACTCAATAACCAACCCTGCTGCTTATGCTAATGCTCTGTTAATTATAATAATAATAATAATTCGATCCGTGACAATCGCAGAAGGCTCATCTTACTACTACTACAAGTAGAACAACTTCGCCTAGAGCAGCGATGATGGGTGCTTCTCCTTCTTCTTCCTCTTCTTCCTCCTCCTCCTCGTTGTTCTTCTTCTTCTCCTATTATTATTATTATTATTCTGTGGGTGGGTGGGTGGGTTGCTGACTTGTGTCGAGAGCAACAGGAAAAGGGAGACAGAGAGAGTGTGCGAGAGCCTGCCTTCTGCCCCTCCACGATGCACCCAACAACAACCCCACCTTATCTTTTCTTTCCCTACCGAATCTTTTCTTTCATTATCGGTTTCATTTCTTTTCTCTCTCGTTCTCTTTTCTTTCATGGACTTACCTTTTCTTTCATTATATTTTCCTTTCCGTTCCCTTCTCTTTGCTTCGTCTCCCCCTTTTCTTTCTTTATTTCTGCTTCTTTTGGTTTGTTGGTTACAGAGTAGGATGATTTGATGCACATAGGCTAATGATAATGCATTATAAGAGTGGAGATGTGTGTTGTTTTATAGAATATGTTCTTTTTGAGCTTTGTTATTTAAAGTAAAAGAGTGGTTTAAGATGTGATGGTAGAAATATTGTTGAAATTATTTTAGAAGAAGAAAGAATAGATTTGCAACCATTCCAAAACTTCACAAGTTTGTCAACACTCTTAAGGTGGAATTTTCACTTATGTCTAACACCAACTATTTAGATAGAATTTTAATGCATATAGAAGAAGTCAACAATGAAGTTCAAAGTCTACGCCAAGAAGTTGTACAATTGTGAAAAGCAAGTAGATCAAGTTTATAGCTAAATTTGAAAAGTTTTACTACTATAGATATAAAAGAAGCAAGGATAAGTATGACAAAGAAGTTTGATGGAACAAGATCAAAGTTTCAAAGATTTCTACAACAAGTAAAGTTCTATCTAAGATTGCATCTTTTTCAATATTTCGATGGATTTACTCAAATTAAATTCATATATACACTTCTTTTTGGAAGTGCTTTCTCTTGATTTACACCTTTAATAGAAAAAGATTCATGTCCTCTCTATGATTTGAATTTATTTTTTCAAATGTTTACAATCACTTTTAAAAAAAGTGATAAAAAAATTGTAATAGAGATCAAAATCATATTTTTACAAAAAAGATTACATTTAGCCACTATATATGCTACTAAATTCTAAAACCTTACTGACAACATGGATTAAAATGATAAGATTCTTATCAATTAATTTTGATATGGATTAAAAGATAAGATCAAAGATTTACTATTAAGAAATCCAAGAGCATACTCATTGGAGCAATTTATTGCTTAAGCCATTGCATGCAATAATCAATTCTTTAAAAGATGCTAAGAACAAAGATTTGATTGGAAAGATATAAATCAAGTCATGGCAACAACTTTTAAGCTTATAAAAGCTTATTTATTAATATTAGAACCTATGCAAATTGACATAATATATTTCAAATTTCTTATTAAGCAGAAAAAGATTTGACACCATCAAGAAGAATTGTACCTATATTGTGAAAAACCTAAGTCTACTATTAAAAATTATCTAAAGAAATAACACAACTACAAAATTAAGAGTATGGTTGTCAAAAAAGATGATATATCAAAAAATGAGTTTTTCCAGCTACAATAAGGACTATGAGACTAAAATATTGTGCAACACGTAATAAAGGTTCTATCTTCTTCTTAAATCTTTTACCTTATTTTAAGATAGATATTTGTTTAGAACCAAAAAATTACAAAGTCTTAGCCTTATTAGATTCAAGTGAGTCAATTTTTTTTTTATAATCAAAGATTTTGTCAAAAAATAATAAATATCCTTAATTAAAAATATCAAACCTCTACACATAGAAGTAATAGATGGTCGTTCATTATCTTCTAAAGATGTTATCTATGAAACTATTCTTCTAGATGTAGCAAATAGTCTTCATAATAGCTTAGTAATATTTAATGTGATTAAATCTCCTTTTAATTCAATCATTTTAGAATTATCATGGCTAAAAAAATATAATCCTCAAATAGACTAATTTTTTTATAATTATAATTTTTCTTGTAGTTTAATCCATGATTTTGCTAGTCAAATAAAAATTCTTAAATTTAATATGTTGTCATGTTGTAAAACAGCTAAAAGGTGATAGGATGAAGAAAATATCATATTCTTGAAGATCTCATTTCAAATATATTATAACAAATTATCTTAGAAAAATAGATAATAGTCAAAAAATAGAAAAATTAAAGATGTTAATGCTGCCTTTTTACAAAATAGGCTTCTATTCACTTTGTAGGACCACAAATATAGCAAAGTAATGTAGATTAGAAAAATAAATAATATAGGCACCTTAGAAAAGAAGTTAAGAGTAGTTTGTGGCAAAAATTACCTTAGAAATCCAAGAGTGGATACCCGGAGAGGACTAGTTACCATCCAGGGTCAAAATCAGACCCTAAGGTTAAAAATCAAGCCTCAATGACGATTCTGGGGGTTTTTTTTGGAAATTAAAGAATAGAATTTGAGAGCTGACTTGATAAGGTTTCTTTGAGCATTGATTTGAAGTGATTTAAGTCAATATTGACTTTGTAAGAGCTTTGCAAAGTTGGGGTTTGTTTTGGATGACTCTAGATTTGTTAAATAAAATGGATGATACTTTTTGGAGAATTTTGTAAGTTTGGTAGTAGATCTAGAAGTGAAAATTTTTAGGTTTGTAGATGTAGCTATGCTTGATGTGTGCTGTGAATTTGGATTTGATCAAATAGTTAGATTGAAAGGCATGAAGGTTTTTGTGGGTTATGGTCTTTGAATTTAGGGTTTTAAGAATTAGTGAGGTTTTTTTTAGATATTTATCAATCCTCTAGTTAGATTGAGGCAATTTTTTCTTATAGAGGTAGTCAATTTGATTTCTAATAAGTATGTAAAGTTTGGAAGCAAAGTAATAGTTCAATCAAGAGTAATTGACTCTGGGAGATTGGCATCAAGGTCAGAGAAGGAGCCCGGGTGACACTTGAGCACATTTTTGAGGTGTTTGTCTATTTGGTAATTCTGATTATTTTTAATTTTTTTATACTTGTTTTCTACTTAATTTTTAAGAGATTTTCAAAATTTGAGTTAAAATTAATAATTCATTCATTAATTATTGAGGTTTAAATCTGTTGTAGGAATTACTTGGAATTGATTAGGGTTCAGTTTAGGATTAAGGTTAGGATTTTGGATTGATTTAAAGTTTAATTAGGATTAGGATTTGATTTAGGTTAGGATTTGGTAAGGATTTTTTTAGGATTTGACTAAGATTTATTTAGGATTTGGTTAGAGCTTATGTAGGATTTGTCTAGAATTTGTTTTCTTGACTAAAGGTATATTTTAATTTTTGAAAAAATCTTCATTTATAAAAGAGGCTGAGGCTCGTGAATCTAATAAGGCAAAGACTTTGTGATTTTTAGGTCCTAAATACACATCTATTGTAAAACAAGGTGAGAGGTCTGAGAAGAGAATAGGACCTTTACTAGATATTGCATATGATTCTAGCCACACATTCTCTATTATAGTTGAAGAAACTTATTTTTTGACACATTATCTTCTTTGGTAATTATGCTCCTCATTTTATAATTGTATTGTTTCTTTGGACAATGTTGAGTAGTATGCTTAGCTTCTCCACAATATAACTACAAACCTTCTTAACAATGTCGAGTCTTTTCTTGCTCCATGAGTGGTTTAAAACGTATGGTATCAATTTACATTCGTTTTGGCCTTGATGAATATGTTTCAGAAAACTTGGGAGTTGCCACCATTACTTAACTTCTTCCTCTCTAATCAAGTCTTTATTCTTGATGCCTTTGAAATAATCGATTCTTGCCTACAATGGCTTGGGTAATAAATTGTTTCAAAAATTTTGCTTTTGACATTATTAATAATAAATCTTTGATGCTATCCTTCAACTTATATCAAAATTGATTGATAAGTACTTTGTCATTTCAATTTATGTCGCAAGGGAGGCTTTAGAATTTGTAGAATAAGTAGTTATTTTCAAAATGTAGATACCTAGTGTAGAGTGTAAACAGGGATAGATAACTGCTGAAAAGGTGATTCAGCAGGTAGAATGGATGAATAGTCAGGAAAAGTAGTTATCATCTGTAGTATAGGAGTTGGTATCTCGTAGTAGTATAAGGAGGATGGGAGAAGGGAAGAAAATGCCAGACTGTGAGAGTTGTGAGCCGGGGGCGAGACTGCGATAGTACTGAGCCGAGAGCCAGACTGTGAGAGTTGTGAGCCGAGGTAAACTTGGTGCTACCTCTTTTCTTTTGTTTGTTATTTTCTTTGAATAAGAGGATTGAAAGTTTCTAAATATTGTGAAGTGAATTATAGAATGGAAATAAGATTGGTATTATTTGAGAAGAAGAAAGATTGAATGCTGAAATTTGATTGTAGTTCAGCAAAGAGAATGAGTTTGTATTTAAGTGAAACACTGTAATGTGAATGGCAGTTTTGTGTGAAGAATTCCAGTGATTGGAATGAGGATAATTGTGTGCTGAAAGCTGTGAGGGCGCAGTATTACAGTTGGAGATTATGAGGGTGAATATATTGGTGGAAATAACAGTTATTGGTATGACTGAATTGCTGTAAGGAAGAGATTGATAAGGTGAAGGAAGAGATTGTAGTTTCCATGTGTCTTCAGATATTGGAAATAGAGATGATACATTTAGGAGGTAATTGATTATGTGACCCTAACGTGAACGCTTAAGCAACTAGTCATTCCCTGTGTTTGAATCTTTCCATATGAATTTATTCTGGGAAGTTTCTTTCGGAATAAGTAAAACGAGCAATCACATTTTGGCGACGGTGCCAAGGAGTGATAATAGCTTTGAGTGTTAGGAATTAATTATCAAACATGTGAAAAAATTGGCAATGGAAGACGATTTCAGTAGTATTTGAAGAAAGAGTATGGTTATTATGAATGAGAATTTAACATCAAAGAGAATAAAGCAATCAAAGGAAAGAACAGAGAGATCGCAAGCAAGAAATTTGTTGCGTAATGAGTCAGATCACAAATTGAAAAAGAAGCATCGACAAAGTTGGATTAAGTCGTGGTTGCATGCCTGTCGGTATATTCGATCATACCCAGAAG